CCGGTAGGTACATGTTGAAATTAAGTTGTGGTCACCAATCGTTCCGGTAGGTACATATTGAAATTAAGTTGTGGTCACCAATCGTTCCGGTAAGTACATGTTGAAATTAAGTTGTGGTCACCAATCGTTCCGGTAGATACATGTTGAAATTAAGTTGGGTCACCAATCGTTCCGGTAGGTACATGTTGAAATTAAGTTGTGGTCACCAATCGTTCCGGTAGGTACATGTTGAAATTAAGTTGTGGTCACCAATCGTTCCGGTAGGTACATGTTGAAATTAAGTTGTGGTCACCAATCGTTCCGGTAGGTACATGTTGAAATTTAGTTGTGGTCAATCGTTCCGCTAGGTACATGTTGAAATTCCGGTAGGTACATGTTGAAATTAAGTTGTGGTCACCAATCGTTCCGGTAGGTACATGTTGAAATTAAGTTGTGGTCACCAATCGTTCCGGTAGGTACATGTTGAAATTAAGTTGTGGTCACCAATCGTTCCGGTAGATACATGTTGAAATTAAGTTGTGGTCACCAATCGTTCCGGCAGATACATGTTGAAATTAAGTTGTGGTCACCAATCGTTCCGGTAGGTACATATTGAAATTAAGTTGTGGTCACCAATCGTTCCGGTACATGTTGAAATTAAGTTGGTCACCACATGTTGAAATTAATTTGTGGTCACCAATCGTTCCGGTAGGTACATGTTGAAATTAAGTTGTGGTCACCAATCGTTCCGGTAGGTACATGTTGAAATTAATTGTGGTCACCAATCGTTCCGGTAGGTACATGTTGAAATTTTGTGGTCAAAAACGTGGTAGGTCATGTTGAAATTAATTTGTGGTCACCAATCGTTCCGGTAGGTACATGTTGAAATTAAGTTGTGGTCACCAATCGTTCCGGTAGGTACATGTTGAAATTAAGTTGTGGTCAAATCCAGGTACATGTTGAAATTAAGTTGTGGTCGGGTAGGTACATGTTGAAATTAAGTGGTCACCAATCGTTCCGGTAGGTACATGTTGAAATTAAGTTGTGGTCACCAATCGTTCCGGTAGGTACATGTTGAAATTGTTGTGGTCACCAATCGTTCCGGTAGGTAAATTAAGTTGGGTCATGTTGAAATTAAGTTGTGGTCACCAATCGTTCCGGTAGGTACATGTTGAAATTAAGTTGTGGTCACCAATCGTTCCGGTAGATACATGTTGAAATTAAGTTGTGGTCACCAATCGTTCCGGTAGATACATGTTGAAATTAAGTTGTGGTCACCAATCGTTCCGGTAGGTACATGTTGAAATTAAGTTGTGGTCACCAATCGTTTTCGGTAGGTACATTTGAAATTGTTGTGGTCACCAATCGTTCCGGTAGGTACATGTTGAAATTAAGTTGTGGTCAACAATCGTTCCGGTAGGTACATGTTGAAATTAAGTTGTGGTCACCAAATTGTTCCGGAAGGTACATATCGAAATTAAGTTGTGGTCATCAAACTGAAGCGGTAGATACATCTTGAAATTAATTTGAAGTCACTAAACTGATGTGGTAGGTAGATATGAAAATTGCATTGTAAACTCAGTTTCGTTGTTTACTAGCCTCTGAAAAAAAATAAAAAGCTTAGAAAATGGATTCCATATCAGCTTAGGGAAGCAGTCATTGTTTAACGTTTACCCTCCTGTCTCTCTGTTGTTGATAGTCACTGACGATGTAAAAAAAAAAAATAATTTAATCATTTCATACCAAACAAGCCACTAACACGCAGAAGTCTACAATTAACACTGCATTAAATTTTTGAAGATGTAAATTGGCTGGAAAGCAAGAAGCCAGAAGAAAATTCCACAAGTGCGAGAAAATAAACTTTTAGCATAGAACTTATGGTTAGCCATTTCAACTGTAAAATGATTTCTGTCTGAATTTCTGGCATATGGCGTTATCATTATTTACACTATTTACATGCAGACTATTGTCCATATATCTGTTGTTGTTATCACGAGATTTCGGTCTTTGTGCCATCTGGCCTTCATCTGGTGTATGTAGATGATTGCCGGACGGTACAACGGTCGAAACCTTATAACAACAACAACAACAAAGGATCGACGTACAGCAGAGGAAGACTGGTGATCTCAACGACCGACAACAAAAATGGGGACAATAGTCCAGATGTAAATAGTCCAGATGTAAATAGTCCAGATGTAAATAGTGTAAATAAAATGAATTTATTAAAAAAAAAAAAATTACGCAGCATCTAAGTGAGCCTTCAACATCTTATCTTAAATGGAGTCTTCTAAGAAAAAAGATGCAACCCTCCTCACGAGTCAGCGGTTCCGATAAGTTTAAAAGACCAAAATATTCCTTGTGGAATCAAAATTCTTTGATCGTGGAATATGCAGTATAGATTAAATGTGTCGTGAGGTCGGAGGAAAATACTATGGAGGTTCCAAAAATAAAATTGGCATTAATTGGATGTGCAGGTAACGTAGCAGAGTTCCAATCTCCGCTTTGATGCGTTCATTTCCATAAAAATACCCCGAGGAAATGTATGAATCCACTGCTTCCATTTCCAGCTGTGTTAAATAGCCGTGAAAACTCGACTCTCTAGCTTTGGCTATCAGCCAGTCTAGGAGAAGGACTGCACTGACTTCAAAACCGCGGTGAAGCCAAGGAAAATCAAAGCACTATCCTTTCCCAGGAAGTCAAGGCAGTTCACAGAATAAAGAAACGAAATCAGTGAAATGCCACTGTTGCTTTCATCCTGAAGAGACATAATACTTTTAAAAATATATTTGATCACTCTGTACCACACCTTAAACGAATCTATCGACAATCTTGCTTTCTCTCCCGAGGCCAATAGATGGGTGGGGGGGCTATGCTTGGAACATAGTTATTCATAGATGGTATAGGAATGGTCTTGACAAGAGAATCAAAATCTTCTAGCAAGTGTTCCAAAAAATAGGTTTCAGACCTTTCCAGAGTATAAACCATGACCTCGAACTGGAATAAAAGCATGATGGCGATATTCAGTCACTCACCCCCCACGAGGGTGTCATGTGGCACAAGGCCTTTTTAACGTGGGCATTCCCGAGCCATTAGGCTCGGCCAAAAATAGCCCATTTGAACCCGTATAAACGGGTTCAGGGCCGAGTTTACCTCCCCCTGAAGGAGACTCCGCCCTTCGGCGTAGCCTCCTTCGGGTTCCTCTCGTCCGTAGGAAGAGAGTTCAACCGAACAGTCGCTCAGAAAGCAGTGATGGCACATACCCAAAATCCATCATTAATATTCAGAATATGGATTTAGTAAATACTAAACACTTGTATGGATTTACAAATTTAATATAGGTGATAGGAAAATCGAACATAGAATAAACTCTAGGTAGTTTTCAACCAGCACAGCTACAAAACTAAACTAAAACATTAACGTGAAAACTCGAGTCAAGTTCTTAAATAGCCTCGTCAGATCAAGATTTTCATATGGATACCATGCAAAGCGCCAGAAATATCGAAACTGTCCATCCCATACAACTGGTTTAAAATGGTTTTGAGCAAGTGAAGCTTATGGGACTTGGTGAAGGCCACACTTTTTCGAACCTTGTGGACTGGTGCTACAGAATCACAAAGAGTTGTAGAAACCAGAATATCAGAAGCCACGTCACTTGAGGACCTTCAACGACTAAAATGGATATCACATATAACTTGAAGCGAAAATAATCCCATAATCAAGGTGTTGACATTCCACACTACTTCAAATAGGAAGGAACTCATAACCGCCCCCCTCCACACACACACACACTTTAATACCGGAAAGAGCTATAACTGCTACTGGACTTGAGAAACCTATTTTCCAAAAAATTGTTTCAAGAGAAATATTTTATAAATTTCCACCGACAGTAGAACTGGTTGCTCAATCAATGAATGCCGAATGTTTCCTTATTAGGAAACGGCTAATATCACCATTACCATTATAGAACTCTGTTTTCAAAGAGTTAAGATAATCGATTATGTTAAAAAAAAACTTGATAGAAAATTATGTTGATATTAAAATCTGCGATATTTTAATCAAAACTTATTTGCAAAAGAAATGTCACCGTTAAAAAATGTTTGTTTTGTTTTACGACATATCAATCTCAATGGGTTATTTAATGCCAACAAGATGTTTATTGCGGGCAACATTTTCTTTTTCAAAAGTGTATTTCTGGTATTTTTTTTTTATTATTCAAAAAATGTATTGCTGGTATTATTTTTTTTTTTTTATTCAAAAAATGTATTTCTGTTTTTTTTTGTTTGTTTTTATTCAAAAAATGTATTGCTGGTATTTTTTTTTTTATTCAAAAATGTATTGCTGGTAATAACGTCGTCTGGGGGAGGAAGTAGAGGGAAGGAACTTGTTGAGAGCTGCAAGGGATAGATGGAGGTGGAGAGCCATGATCGCCTACGATCTGAAAGGACATGGCACATAAAACGAAAAGAATTGCTAAAAATAATGTATTGCTGGTAATAATTTTTCTTCAAAAATTTATTACTGGTAATAATTTTTTACAAAGTATTTCAGGTATTAAAACCTATTTTTACACTTTCATAGTGTTTGACCCTAGGTTGGGGGGTTAACTATTTACCCATAGCTGGGAACCTAACAGGTGATACCACTCTGGGTCAGGGTGGACCTGGGAACACCAGCAATTAAGAGGTGGTTCCACGCTCCTTGCTGTTGAACGTAGTTTATCATCTTACCCAGGACGGCGTCTTTAAGTTTTGAAATTTTGAGTATCTGACAAATAGATACTTGTTGCAAAATAAAATCATTACATTTGCCTTGATAAAATCCGTCAGATGACGAAACGTGTCGGCTAAGTATAGTTTTCCTCTTGTCTTTTTTGTTCACATTCACGCACACGAACACACACACATACACACACACACACACATATATATCAGTAGATAGTTTTTGCTGTTCGTTTGTTGAAATATTTTGCGATTTTTTTCTATTCTTAATAAAATTTTATTCATTTTATTTTCAGGAAATAAATGAAGCGTTCAAGGTATTTATTCTTGACGTCTTTCGAGAATTTTTCTTCCGTATATTCACTGGCAGACGATACTTTTGCTCACTTGTTTACAAAGGCTCGCTTCCTGTCCATCACTTCCCTCCATCCTTTTAGTTTTCTACCTTCTTTTTTTCGTTTTTCCCATCTCTCGATTTTTTTTTCTTTTTCTCACCCTCCCTCATTTTTTTTTTCCTTTTTTACTGTTCAATCTAATTTTATTCCTTCGTTTCTTCTTTTTCTCCTTCCCTCATTTTCTTCTTTTCTTTCTTTTTTTTTTTTTAAACTTCTCTTTTTTCTTATCCTTTATCGAAAGTATTCTTTTCGCGTATATTTTTGTTCTTTCTGTCCTACTTCCTCTTCATTTTTAATTCTACAGTGTAACCCGGATATAAGAGAGTTGTCGGGACCGGAGAAGTCTCTTATATCCGGGTTTCTCTTATATCCGGGTTTGGTCTATTAACACAGGCTCTAATTTGGGACCAGAGAAAATCTCTCTTATATCCGGGTTTCTCTTATATCCGGGTTTCTCTTATATCCGAGTTACACTGTATTTTGTTCTCTTACCTATTCGTCTTTTCTTTTTCATTCGTTCGTTCATTACCATTTTTCTTCTTTCTTTCGCTTGTTTTCTCTACTTTTCATCTGTCCGTTTCGTTTCTTTCTTTTTTAAACTATTTTTGCATTTCGTTTTTATTTTTCATTCATTTCTTTTTGTTCATTTTTACTCCCGTTTTTTAAAGCATTCACGTCTTTGTCTTCCATCATTCTAAATTCCGCTGTCTTATTGTACTTTTTAAATTAATTCTTCTTTTTTGCTTTCTTTCTTTCTTTTTTCTTTGGTCCTCACATTCTTTCTTTCTTATCTTTTTGGGATCTCACGTTTTCTTTCTTTCTCCCTTTCTTTCTTTCTTTTCTAATTTTTTTGGTTCTTTCTTTCTTTCTTTCTATTTTTTTGGTCTTCACATTCTTTCTTTCCTATTTTTTTGGGTCCTCACATTTTCTTTCTTTCTTTCTTTCTTTCTTTCTTTCTTTCTTTCTTTCCCAACTTTTCGGTTCTTTCTTTCTTTTTTTTTTTTTTGAGGGGAGGAGTCCTCACATTCTTTCTATTTTTCCTTCTTTCCTATCTTTTTGGATTCTCACACTTTCTTTCTTTCCCAACTTTTTGGTTCTTTCTTTCATTTTTTCTTTCTTTTTGTTTTCTCACATTCTTTAGTTCTTTCCTATCTTTTTGGATTCTTTCATTTTCTTTCTTCTTTTCCTTCTTTCCCAACTTTTTGGTTCTTTTCTATTTTTTCTTTTTTTTCTTTTTTTTTCTTTTTTTTTTTTTTTTTTTCCCCTTTTTTTTGCCCTCACATTATTTCTTTCTTTCCTATCTTTTTGGATTCTCACAATATCTTTCTTTCTTTTTTACTTTTTTCTTTCCTAATTTTTTTGGTTTTTCATTCTTCCTGTTTTTTTGGTCCACTCATTCTTTCTTTCTTTCTATCTTTTTAGGTTCTCACATTTTCTTTCCTTCTCTTTTTCTTTCTTTCTTTCCCAACTTTTTGGTTCTTTCTTTCTTTTTTTGGTCCTCACATTCTTTCTTTCTTTCCTCTGTTTTTGGATTCTCACATTTTCTTTCTTTATTTCTTTCTTTTTGGTTCTCACATTCTTTTTTTCTTTCCTATCTTTTTGGATTCTTCCATTTTCTTTCTTTCTTTCCTTTTTTCCAAACTTTTTGGCCCTTTTTTTTATTTTTTTTTTATTTTTTTTTTTTGCCCTTCACATTCTTTCTTTCCTTCCTATCTTTTTTGGATTCCCACATTTTCTTTCTTTCTTTATTTCTTTATTTCTTTCTTTCTTTTTGGTCCTCACATTCTTTCTTTCTTTCCTATCATTTTTAGTTCTTACATTTTCTTTCGTTCTTTCTTCTTTCTTCCTTTCTTTCTTTTTTCTTTCTTAATTTTTTTGGTTCTTTCATTTTTTTTTGTTCCTTACATTCTTTCTTTTCTATCTTTTTGGGTTCTCACATTTTCTTTTTCTTTCTTTCTTTCTTTCTTTCTTTCTTTCTTTCTTTCTTTCTTTCTTTCTAGTAACTGTTTGCTTTCTTTCTTTCTTTCTTTCTTTCCCTTTTCTTTCTTTCTTTCCCTTTTCTTTCTTTCTTTCTTTCTTTCACAACTTTTTGGTTCTTTCTTTCTTTTTTTGATCCTCATATTCTTTCTTTCTTTCCTATCTTTTTGGTTTCTCACATTTTCTTACTTTCTTTCATGCTTTCACACTTCATTTCTTTCTTTTTCTTTTTTCTTTCTTTTTCTACTTTCCTCACTTTGTTCGTTCATTCCATCAGTTTTCCTCTTTCTGATTCATTTTCTTTTTTTTTCTGTTTCTTCATTTGATCTTTTTCTTTTTTTTTTTTTTTACTTTTTATTACATTTTTATTCATTCTATTTCGTTAATCTTTTCCTTCCACTTTTTTATTCTTTTTCTTTCTTTTTTTCCTTTATTTTTTTGCCTATTCTTAAATTCGTCTCCCCCACACTCACAAACAGACGTTATCCGCCTCATTCGCTTGAATCACATTTATACGCACAATCCACAGTATTGCCGCTAACCCTGTCTAACCCTCGAACTCTTCACCCGCATAATTCTACCGGCTGCCTCTCCATTACCGTACGCCACTGGCCTCTCAAGCCTTACTTAACCGTACACACATGATACCCGAACAATTTTGCGCAGCAATTAGGAAACACCGAGTGGATACAAGTGTGAACGCCTTCTAACGAGACTGGAGCTTATGACTTACGAAAACAAGCTAATAATATAATTCAGCGCGTGTTTATCAAATGATGCCTGAACACTATATTAATAAGGCTCTCTCTGTCTTTCTCCTTTTTTCTCTTCCTCTCTTTCTCTCACTCGTTTTAATACATTTACTCTCTGTCTTTTTTCCATTTCTTCTCTCTTTCTAATAAGACTATTCTTTCTGTCAATACTACTTATCTCCAACTTCTTCATACATGTTCTTAATCTCACCTTCTCTCTCTCTCTCTCTTATATATATATATATATATATATATATATATATTTCTCTTTCTCTCTCTCTCTCTCTCTCTATATATATATATATATATATATATATATATATATATATATATATATATATATATTAATCACCCTTTCGTCTCTCACACATTTCTTATATATATATATATATATATATAGAAAGAGAGAGAGAGAAATGAAAGGGTATAGACACACATCATATATATTATATATTCTCTTTCTCTCTCTCTCTCTCTCTCTCTCTATATATATATATATATATATATATATATATATATATTCTTAATCATCCTTTCGTCTCTCACACATTTCTCATATATATATATGCATGTGTGTGTGTGTGTGTGTGTATGTGCAAATAAAAAGAAAGAACAGTAAGATATATAATCCGGTGTTTTTATTGGTATTTTTATTTTTACAAAATAGTGCTCAATGTAAATTTACAGAGCATCAATATTATAAATTAACTGATTTAAAATATGTTTTTTTTTCGCTACACGGTATTAACCATGTTTCAAAATTGGAAGCAGAAAGCTTCGAATTTAATTTTGTAATTAAATTAAATTAGTTCCATTTCATCCTCAAGCGAATTAAATTCGCTAAATTCGCTAAATATTCGTCTTTCAGCTTCCATTTTTGAAACATGGTTAATACTGTGTAACGAAAAAAAACATATTTTTAATCAGTTAATTTATATATATATATATATATATATAAAGTAGTATATATATATATATATATATATATATATATATATATATATATATATATATTACTTTCGCCTCTCTCATTTCTGGCACTTTTTCAAATGCACTTGCTCACTATCTTTCTTTCTTTCTATCTTTATGTCTTTCTTTTTCATGTCTTTTGTCTTTCCTCTTCTTTCTTTTACTCACGTTTTCAAAATGAAATTGCTCTATGTCTTTCTCTTTTTCATCTCTCTTTCTATGTATTTACTCTCTCTCTCTCTCTCTCTCACTCCCATTCTTCTACACTTTCTCACAATACTCTCTCTCTTTATCACTATCTCAATGGCTCTCTCTCTCTCTCTCTCTCTCATTCACTTTTTCTGATATATCTGTTCTCTTTCTTCTTTTTCGTATCTTTCTCTGTAAAAAGATCTACTTACTCCTTCACTCTCTCTCTTTCAAATAAATCCCCGTTTCTTCTCCCCATCTCTCACATAAACACTTCTCTCTTTCTCTCTCTGGACCCGCACAATTTCTATCTATCACATATTTCTATCTCTCTCCTTCTCTCTCATACATAATCTCTTCTCTCTTTCTTTCACACATGCTCTTTCATTCTCTCTCTAAACACTCTCTCTCAAACACTTTCTCGCTTTATATCCGTCACTCATACATACCTACTCTCTTTCTCAGTCCATTGCACACACAAGAACACCTCTCTCTCTTTCTTTCTGTCGGTCTGTCTCTTTTCAGTATATTTCTCTCACACTTACTTTTTCTGTGTCTCCTTCCCACATACATACATATTGACTCTTTTTCTGTCCGTCTGTGCACTTTCTTTTCTGTATATCTAACGCACACTCTCTTTCTCACACTGTCACACACACACACTCTCTCTCTCTCTCTCTCTCTCTCTCTCTCTCTCTCTCTCTCTCTCTCTCTCATACACACACATACATACTCTCTTTTCACACACACAGTTTAATTAAGATGTGACACACGGAAATTATAGAACACACAGTGAGGATCGAACTCACTGCTCAGTTGTAATTGATGTAGGGAGACAAGCTTGTTAACCATTACACCACGTCGAAGTGCTGTCTTTGTCGCATCCACAAACATTATATATCTCTTTCTCTTTACTTCCGTCACTCTCTCTATCCATCTCTCCTTCACTCTATCTCCCCTTCCCCCTCTCTCTCTCTCTCTCTCTCTCTTTGTTATATACTTGATTCTAGACTCTAGTCTTCATCGTCTTTGCTACATTCCTCATTGCCTTTATTTATTATATATGTGTATGTTGTTATATGATTTCTAAAAATAAATTCAATTTTTCAATCAAGTCTCCTGAAGAGTGGACACAATCTCCTCAAAACTCAGAGTAGAGACAAGATAAATGAACATTTAATTGTATTTATTATTATATATAGTGAGCACAGGATATACCTGAGGACTTGCTTCGGCAATTAGTTGGAGATTCGTCTCAAGCTAAGCTGGTCGAACTCTCTGCTTTCGGGCAGAGAGTAACCCAGACGAAGCTATGCCGAAGACCAAAGTCTCGTCTGGGGTGGTAGACAGCTACCCGACCCCGTTTTTTACGGGGTCTACAGAGAAATTTTGCCGGAGCCCACGGTCTCGGTTTTACACTGCATTAAAAAAAGGCCTTTTTATAGGCATTGAGCTCCTGTATTCGGATAGAAGATGGAGTAGCTGCCCAAAAATAGGAAGGGGCATAAAGCAAGGATGTATCTTCTCGGCAGATTTATTCAACCTCTACAGCGAGGCTATCCTAAAGGAACTGGGGATCCTGCCAGGATTTATTATCAGTAGGCATAATCTTATCAATATAAGATACGCAGATGACACTGTGTTGATGGCCAACTCGAAAAGAAAACTACAGAACCTCCCAGACAACATCAAGAAAGTCCAGAAGTGTAAATATCTGGGATATGTTTTAACAGGGGATGGAAAATACGGCACCAAAATCCGAAGTACGCATTGCATTAGCGAAAGATGCCTTCCAAAAATGAAACAGGAAAATATCGTTAGAAAAGAAGAAAAGAGTGCTGGATTGATGTGTGATATCCATCCTCTTAGTGAATGCTAGACAATCTCCTCGCGTATAAGAAAACTAAAGGCAACAGAAATATGGTTCTACAGCAGGATGCTGAGAATTCTATGGAGGGAGCCAGTAAGCAACGAGGGAGTCTTTAAAACAATAACAGAAAGAACACTTATGTTCATAATCAGGAAGAGACAGCTGAAATTCCTTGGACACATAATGAGGGTTTGAAAAGGAAGGCATATTGAGGGCAAAGGGAGAAAAATTGCAAGGGATAGGAAGTTTTGGAGAGCTATGATCGCCCACGTTTTGAAAGGACGCGACGCAAAAAATAACAAACTGCTCACAAATCTACCCAAACACTTGCGGTCTTTGTGGTACTGTCAGTCGGAGTAAAAAGCTTACCTTATTTTTTTTATGTTTGTAAATGCCCCAAAATCTTTATAAAATGAATTCACAGTAACGACTTCGCTTTACGTCATTTCAGCATACGAAATGTCTCAGCGGAACATTAATTTAGCATACCAGGGAAAAATATATGCATATATATATATATATATATATATATATATATATATATATATATATATATATATCATACTTATTATAAAACCCCGGTTTGTGTGTGTGTGTCTGTTCGTTTATATGTTAGATCGAATTTCCTACATTTTTCAACCGATTTCGACAAATCTTCACAGGACTACGTAAAAACACATTGCGGTGGTTCTGACAGCGCCAAAAATTGGGAAAACACAATTGTTTTTGCACGAAATCAATTTGAAAACACGATTAAGAGGCATCGCGAGAATGAAAGGGGGACAACTCAAATCGAGTTATACTTATTATAAAACCCAGGTTGTTTGTGTGTGTGTGTGTGTGTGTGTGTGTGTGTGTGTGTGTTCGTTTATATATGGGATCGGATTTTCTACATTTTTCAACCGATTTCAACAAAACTTCACTTTTTTTTTTTGACAGGTAGTGTTTCTTATTGTCTTGCACACTTTTTTCTTACTTTTACATTCAGAATGCTTTAAAAATTCTATTTACAAGACAATTGTTTATAATAAAATTCTATTCAATCGGTAGACTCATAACGATTGAAAACAATGTTTTTGTTTGAGTTTGGGTTTGACCAGTTCGTAAAAAAAAAAAAAAAACTAATTAAGACATGCGTCTCTCTCAACCTTAAACAATAATCTTTGTCAATTTTATTTTTCAGTCTTTATGATGGTCGATACTTGATCTATCTCTTACATCCCCGGGCAACGCCGGGCTCTACTGCTAATATATATATATATATACTTTCTGTTTAAACGTTATTTTTACACGGATATAACTTATTTGAGTAAATGCTGTGTTTTAATTAAACATTTACCGGTCTGAAAAATTTATTAGAAAATATGCGTCCTCTGACAGGAATCGAACCTGTATCCCATACGGAAACTGTCATATAACCTGACGTGCAGTTAACCATTCAGCCACAGAGAACTTCCCCATTAGCAAAGTACAAATTACTCCTTATAAACACACAACTTCGACGATCTTTCTCCGAAACGTAATCTAACGTAAACAATGGCAACATATTAGACGAAATGGATTAAATCCGACAAATATTTTAATATTTCCTGTTTATACGTTATTTTTATGGATACAACTTATTTGAGTAAATGCTCTGCTTTAATTAAACAGTATTAATTAAATTTACAGGCCTGAATGTTCGAGAATAAGTTGTATCCATAAAAATAACGTCCCTCGGTTTATTTATGTTGCTCTGTTGATTATTTATTATTTATGGAATTATCTATACGGATTACCAAACAAATATTAACACACACACACACACACACACACACACACACACATATATATATATATATATATATATATATATATATATATAT